AGGCCTGTCCTGCTGCCCAACCATGGTAGAGAGGCTAATTCATAGCCCCACCTACTAAGTACGGTACCAAGTCCTGACCATCTAGAAAACCTGACCAGAGAACCCAGGCAATTGGAGAGTCCACCCTACAGACTCACTCTGGCAAGGAACCAAGCCAGTAGTCCTATCCAACTGCTCTCAGCCAGTAATACCTACCCCCCCACCCCTGACCTCGGAACTTGGGCGTGGCTTCATCAAAATACAGACCTGATAGCAAACCCTACCTGCCCAATGATGTTACTATCAGACAGCTCCAGAAACCCAAAGTAAGCTCACAGATAAATGTCTCTGCTAAAGTAAACATGCACAGTCTGAAAGAAAAGGAGATCTATGACCTTTGTCAAAGAATTCAAAATAATCCTTTTCAGGTTTAGTGAATTACACAAACAATGTCAAAAAACAATAAATGAACAAAAATGAGTTCAACAAAGAAAAAGAAACCACTAAAAAAAAAATTTGAGAGCTGAAAATACAATGATTGCACTGAAAAATTTTATTTTATTTTTTTGCACTAAAAAATTTTAATAAAGAGTTTCAAAAGTAGAGGAATCAGCAACCTGGGGATTAAAAATCATCCAGAGTTGCAAAATGAAAAAAGAATGAAAAAGAGTTAAGAAAACCTGTGGGATTTACTGGACAATCAAAAGAAACAACACTCATGGTATGAGAATTCCAGAAGAGAAAGGGAGAAAGTATACATAAAGCAATACTGGCAAAAGACTTCCCAAACCTGGGAGAGAAAAGGGACATTCAGACCCTGAGGCCCAAAAGAAAAGGCCCCAATTAGGTTGGACCCAAATAGGGATACACCAAGACACATTAAAAAAAAAAAAAAAAAGTTGTTAAAAATCAAAGAAAGAGGGCAGCCCCAGTGGCATAGCGGTTTAGCGCCGCCTGCAGCCCGCGGCATGATCCTGGAGACCCGGGATCGAGTCCCACGTCAGGCTCCTTACATGGAGCCTGCTTCTCCCTCTTCCTGTATCTCTGCCTCTCTGTGTCTCTCATGAATAAATAAAATCTTTTTTAAAAAATCAAAGAAAGAATTTTGAAAGCAGCAAAAGAAATTACATGCAAAGGAACCCACATAAGAATACTAGAGGATGTTTTTTGGGGCACCTGGGTGGTTCAGCAGGTGAGCATCTGCCTTCGGCTCAGGTCGTGATCCCAGGGTCCTGGGATTGAGTCCCACACTGAGCTCCCCGCGGGGAGCCTGATTCTCCTTCTGTGTCTCTGTGTCTCTCATGAATAATTTTTTTTAAAAAATCAAAAAATTGAAATACAGAAAACACCTTGACTGTATTAAAAAACAAGATCCAATGAAATGCTGCCTACAAGACACTCACTTTAGCCTTAAAGACATACACAGACTAAGATTGAAGGGACAATAAAAGATACTTCAAAGAAATGATAACCCCCCAAAAAGGAGTAGCTACATATAGCTCAGACAAAATAAACCTGAAATAAAAATGGTAAAAACATACAAAGTTCAATATATAATGATAAAGGGGGTCAATCCTTCAAGAAGATATGACAACTGTAAATATTTATGCACCAGGGGATTCCTGGGTGGCTCAGCGGTTTGGCACCTGCCTTCTAGCCCAGGATCAAGTCCCGTGTCAGGCTCCCTGCATGGAGCCTGCTTCTCCCTCTGCCTGTGTCTCTGCCTCTCTCTCTCTCTCATGAATAAATTAAAATCTTCAAAAAAAAATTTTTTTTAAATATTTATGCACCAGTACCAGAGCCCTCAAATATGTAAAGCAAAAACTAACAGCTAAAAGGTAAAATAAAGAGCAATACATTAATAGTTGGGGGTTTAACACTCCACTCTCGACAATGAATGGATCATTCGGACAGAGAACCAACAGAAAACAGATCTGAACAATACTTATAGACCAAATGGACCCAACAACCACATATAGAACATTCTATCTGACAACAGCAAGCTACACGTTCATCTCAGGCACACATGTAACATTTTCTAGGATAAACCACATGGTAGGCCAAATAATAAGTCTTAGTAAATTTAAGAAGGCTGAAATCATGCTAAGTTATCTTCTCTGACCACAATGGTATGAAACTAGATATCAATAAAAGAAAACTGGAAAAACCACAGATACATGGAAATTGAACACTCTCCTGAACAACCAATGGATCAAAGAAAAAATTAAATGAGAAATCAGAAAGTATCTTGAGACAAACAAAAGGGAAACCCAATCTACCAAAACTTATGGGATGCAGCAAAAGCAGGTTTTTTTAAGATTTTATTTATTTATTCATGAGATACACAGAGAGAGAGGCAGAGACACAGGCAGAGGGAGAAGCAGGCTCCCTGCAGGGAGCCCGACTCGATCCCAGGACTCCAGGATCCCACCCTGGGCCGAAGGCAGGCACTAAACCGCTGAGCCACCCAGGGATCCCCGAGGTTAACATTCAAAAATATTAAACTACAACAGCAAAAAAAGAAAAAAAAGAAAAATCCAACTAAAAACTGTATTTTTTTTTTTTAAAGATAGATACAGAGACAGAGACATAGGCAGAGGGAGAAGCAGGCTCCATGTAGGGAGCCTGATGCGAGACTCGATCCCAGGACTCCAGGATCACGCCCTGAGCCAAAGGCAGATGCTCAACTGCTGAGCCACCCAGGCGTCCCTAAAAACTGTATTTTCTCAAGAAAATATACAAATGGCCAACTGGCACATGAAAAAGATGCTCAACATCACTAATCGTTAGGGGAATGCAAATTAAATTACTATTAGCTAATAGAATGGCTAGCATCAGAAAAAATGAACAAATGCCGGGAAGGATGTGGAAGAAAGGGAACCCTTGTGCACTAATGGCGGGATTGGAAACTGGTACAGCCACTATAGAAAACATGGAAGTTTCTCAAAACAAAACAAAACAAAACAAAAAAAAAAGTAGAACTACCAGGTGATCTAGCAATTCCACTTTTGGGAATATAGCTGAAGTAAAAGAGAACAGTATGTGTAAGAGCTATCTGCATCCCTATGGAAATAACTTAAACGTCTATTAAGAGATGAGTGGAGGGGATCCCTGGATGGCTCAGTGATTTGATGCCTGCCTTCGGCCCAGGGCGTGGGATCGAGTCCCACATCGGGCTCCCTGCATGGAGCCTGCTTCTCCCTCTGCCTGTATCTCTGCATCTCGCTCTCTCTCTGAATGAATAAATAAAAACTTAAAAAAAAAAAAAAAAGATGAGTGGAAACAAAACAAAAAAAAACCCCGGAAACTCATAGAAGAGATCACATTTGTGGTTACCAAAGGCAGGTTTGGGGCAGCGGAAATTGGACAGAGGTGGTTAAAAGGTACAAATTTCAGTTCCAAGTAAGTACTGGGATGTAATGTACAGCATGATGATAGTTAACCCTGCTCTGTGGTACATATGAAAGACGTATATGGTATATATTAAGAGCAAATTCTAAGAGTTCTCACCATATGGATAAAATTTTCTATTTTTTTATATGAGATGATGGGTGGTAACTAAACTTACTGCGGTTATCATTTCCTAATATATTTTAAGTCAAATCATTATGCTGTACACTCAGCAGCTGAGTGTCTCTCTTTGGCTTGGCATGATCCTGTGGTCTGGGATCGAGTCCCCTATCAGGCTCCTTGTGGGGAGCCTGCTTCTCTGTCTCTGCCACTCCCCCTCTCTGTCTCTCATGGATAAATAAAATCTTAAAAAATAAACTCCTGCTTTATATCAACTATACCTAATATAACAGGGAAATACAACAGAATGGTGTTTATAGACCAAAAGTAGGCATACTTAGAGATAAGCTAGCTTCAGAATTTTTACAAGAAAACTAGTCTTGGGGCAGCCCGGGTGGCTCAGCGGTTTAGCACTACCTTCGGCCCAGATTGTGATCCTGGAGACCCGGGATCGAGCCCCACATCAGGCTTCCTGCATGGAGCCTGCCTCTCTCTCTTTCTGTGTCTCTCATGAATAAATAAATTAAATCTTTTTTTTTTTTTTTAAAGAAAGAAAACTAGTCTTATGTCATTAGACATTAAAAGTTCCTCCTTACAAGCAAAAAACAAAAACAAAAAACCAAAAAAAAAAAAAAAAAAAAAACAAAAAAAAACCCTGATACAAAGACACACTGAACATTCCATATTCTAAATTACTGTGGGGAGCCTCAGTTTTACATCTTCTGGGGCCATGTTTGGGGGCTGGGATGTAAGAAAGAGGAGACAAAGACAGGACTATATAAATGGATGAGAAATAAATCAAAAGGATAAAAAGAACTAAAACAGCAAAAAAGCTCATTTACATAAAGTACTTCCTGCTCTGGGTTACCATCACACCTTTCTTGAGAACACTGAATCTTTTTTTATAATCCTCTGCAATTTCAATTTATGCTATGAGGACTGTAAGAATCAACCCAAAGGACCACCATCCCAAGTGACAAGCAGAGATAAGGAAAACAAGTAGTTTGTAGTTTGCCATAGAAGGCTGGAATAACCACACAGACTTCCCTCCTATAAATCACTATGACCGCTAAGAACCCACATATTTGATAATGGCTCTCACGAGTTCAGCAGGTGAAGACAGAGGGAGTCTCCCCCTCCAAAAAAAATCAGGGTCAAATTCCATGAGGGTTGGTGCAGGGTGTACAGATGATGTTCAAGTTGGCAAGAAGACTCTATCCATCTTTGCTGGAGATGGCTTGAGCCCATGACTTGCAAAATCCAAGAAGCTAAATACTGATTTATGCTTTAAAAATATATATTAAAAATTACATACAGTGTATCTTTATTATCACATTTGCTAACAAGAGGCACGTCTTGTGTTCCAATTGTGAGATCCATATGCTTGGCACCACAGCACAAATCACAGTCTTCAACAACATCCCAAACATGCATCCTGTGGAAGTTAAAGACCAGAGCTGCCGTCTGCCATTGACAAGGACAGAAAGAAACAAACTGAATTCACTAACATCTTAGAGTTCCTTCTACAATGATTTTATTATAAATATGTTCTTTTGGAATAAACAAATATTGCATTCAAGACTATTTATCTGCCAACTTGTTCTAAAGTAATAAAGGAAGAAAAATGGAACCAGGAACCACTTAGAAATAGAAGTAGCAAAGACACCTGCATGCCATGCTAAGCGCCTTTCCCCCAGAAGTAACAGAAGGTTAACAGGGAATATCACATATCTCATTAGCCCATTCAATTAAAGAAAGCTTTGAGTTTGGTAATTTGCTCTTGTTCTGTAAACTGAACAGCTTCTCCCCTCAGTCCTAAGTAGCATGGGGAGACATCCTCAGAGCCCAGCATCAACAAGAAAGATCTTGAACTGTGTACTTATTAACTCCTGGCTCATGAACAAAACTGTTCCCTATTTGCCAGGAGCAATGTCAGAGTAGTCCTTCAGCACTCCAGCCAGGTGTTCGTTGTGGGTCTTAAACCGGCGCTTTTTCTGCGAAGCAGGCTTTTTCCTTCTCTGAATAGGGGCCTATAAGAAAAGGTAAAAACAGAAACAGCTACTCAGAAGGGCAGAATAGTGAGGATGTTATTAACAATGAGGAGAAACCTTTTTTCCTGCTTGGTGGACCAGCTTCATGTGCCAATCCCTCCCACGCACCCCAGCCTCTCCACTCTCCCCAGTATGCTTCCCAGCCACAAACGAGGCCAGAGTGACAGTGCCAAGCACAGCTCCACTGGGATAACTAGGCAGACACAAAAACCTCCCACAACTATCCTTGACACTAAGTGGATTCAAAAGAGGCAATAAAGTTCTTTTTCATTTCTATCATTAGGCTTAAAAATACATCCTCCATTACCAATAAAAAAGACTGGACATAAATATGGCTAAACACAGAGTTACACCAAATGGGGGAGTGGATGGGCACACAAAGATTTGTTAAATATTATTCCCCATTCTTTTCTGTGTACTTGAAATTTAAAATCACATGATTAAAAAAACATCAACAAACTAAGCAATAACAGGAAAAAAGAGCTCATAAAGTGCTACAACTCCACGAATTCAAGGAGATCACTGGGCAATACACCTTGCCTTTTAAGAAGTCCTACAAATTCATTAAATAAACACACATACACACACAAAATCACAAAGAAGGCAAGTTCCAAAGACTGAGAGTAGAAAAGGGAAAGGGAGAGGGGAAGAGCAGCTACAGTTAGGGTGTTCCCCAAACCAGGTTCATCCTTGGACTACAGACAACCAATTAGCAGGTACAAGGCAATTCACGTGTTTTTCCATTATAAATCCCTCCACTGATGGGGCTTTCGGGCTACGTGGCAACTGGTTCCTAAGGAATCTGAAAGCCCACAAGAACAACAGGGGCTGTGATAGGGGCTAAGGCAGAGCCAGGCATAGAGGCCATAGGGGTGGGTGGTGGAGCGAGGGGGAAGGGAGTGCCATTAAGGCCAAGATGAAGAAACAAAGTCCTTTTAGAAACCAGGAGGAAACAAATGAGCACTAGAGGACAGTCAGTATGACTTGAGTACTCACTGCTGGGACAAGGGCTGGAAGGGTAACGAGGAACGCTCCCACGTGCCTGGGTAGCAGCATCCGGGGGCAGAGATCCATTGGCCCCCAACATATCAGACAGGAACTGGTTTACATCTGACCAAGATCACTGATTAGGACACAGAAAAAACTAGAAGGGAGAACTGACTACCTCCTCTTCAGAGAGGCTCACAGTTCAAAGAATAGAGGATTACTTTTTTTATCCTCCCAAGAGACTACATACCACTTTCTTTGGTCCGGATTCCTGCATGGAAGAAATACCCTGTCGCTTCAGATATTCTTCAATTTTCTCCTCATCCATCGAATCCACAGTGACACTCCTCCAGAGTTTCTGAAACTCTACCGACAAGACAGCAGTTATTTTACAACAGATGTTTACAAGCTATAGCGTCTGTGACTGAAATCCAGGACTCACGATGATCTCTGGTCTGAAGTAGCACATTTAAGATTTCGTTCTAAAATCAAAGGCAGGGATCCCTGGGTGGCACAGCGGTTTGGCACCTGCCTTTGGCCCAGGGCGCGATCCCGGAGACCCGGGATCGAATCCCACGTCGGGCTCCCGGTGCATGGAGCCTGCTTCTCCCTCTGCCTGTGTCTCTGCCTCTCTCTCTTTCTCTCTCTCTCTCTCTCTCACTATATGACTATCATAAGTAAATAAATAAAAAATTTAAAAAAAAATAAAATAAAATCAAAGGCAGTGAGAAAAGAACACTTAAAGGCTGGACAGTGAGCAGCAGGAGGGCCTGAGACTACAAATGTAATCACGGACCAGAGCGTCGTATTCTACTCTTAGTCTAGTGATGCCAGCCCAGGTCCCTGAGAACTCCCTGCAGTGGAGATTCTCTTTTTAGTCCAAAACTCCATTCTCTCCAATGAAATAGTTACAAACTCCTGTTCATTCTCTAAACAACATGAAGGGAGATGGGGACTGAAGATTTATATGAGGATAAGAAGTTGTAAGAGTTAACGAGACTTCTGAAACCAAATAATCTGGAGATGAGTGACTGAGGCGTCATAAAAACTCTTACACAGTTTGGGTCATTTTTTTTTTTTAAGATTTTTTTCATGAGAGAGAAAGAGAGAGAGAGAGAGAGAGAGAGAGAGAGGCAGAGACACAGGCAGAGGGAGATGCAGGCTCCATGCAGAGAGCCTGACATGGGACTCGATCCCGGGTCTCCAGGATCATGCCCTGGGCTGAAGGCGGCACTAAACTGCTGAGCCACCCGGGCTGCCCGGGGTCAGTCATTTTAAAGAACGGCCTTCAGTTTGGGGTTGTCTAATACTTCATGATTAAACTGAGGTTATAAATTTTTGACAATAAGGCCACAGAAATGACATTCTGCCCTTCTAAGCACAAAGGGTACATGATGTCAAGGTCTCATTAACTGAGGCTGATAAACTGGTTGCGATTAAGCTGGTATCTCTCAGATTTCTCCATCGGGAAGCTATTATTTTTCCCTGTGTAATTAATGAGGATCTTGGAAACTAGCCCTTTACCTGATACGTCATTTGCAAATATCTTCTCCCATTCTGTAGGTTGTCTTTTAGTTTTGTTGACTGTATCCTTTGCTGTGCAAAAGCTTCTTATCTTGATGAAGTCCCAGTAGTTCATTTTTGCTTTTGTTTCTTTTGCCTTCGTGGATGTATCTTGCAAGAAGTTACTGTGGCCGAGTTCAAAAAGGGTGTTGCCTGTGTTCTCCTCTAGGATTTTGATGGAATCTTGTCTCACATTTAGATCTTTCATCCATTTTGAGTTTATCTTTGTGTATGGTGCAAGAGAGTGGTCATTCTTCTGCATGTGGATGTTCAATTTTCCCAGCACCATTTATTGAAGAGACTTTCTTCCAGTGGATAGTCTTTCCTCCTTTATCGAATATTAGTTGACCATAAAGTTCAGGGTCCACTTCTGGGTTCTCTATTCTGTTCCATTGATCTATGTGTCTGTTTTTGTGCCAGTACCACACTGTCTTGATGACCACAGCTTTGTAGTACAACCTGAAATCTGGCATTGTGATGCCCCCAGATATGGCTTTCTTTTTTAAAATTCCCCTGGCTATTCGGGGTCTTTTCTGATTCCACACAAATCTTAAAATAATTTGTTCCAACTCTCTGAAGAAAGTCCATGGTATTTTGATAGGGATTGCATTGAACGTGTAAATTGCCCTGGGTAACATTGACGTTTTCACAATATTAGTTCTGCCGATCCATGAGCATGGAATATTTTTCCATCTCTTTGTGTCTTCCTCAATTTCTTTCAGAAGTGTTCTGTAGTTTTTAGGGTATAGATACTTTACCTCTTTGGTGAGGTTTATTTCTAGGTATCTTATGCTTTTGGGTGCAATTGTAAATGGGATTGACTCCTTAATTTAACTTTCTTCAGTCTCATTATGTATAGAAATGCCACTGACTTCTGGGCATTGATTTTGTATCCTGCCATGCTGCCAAATTGCTGTATGAATTCTAGCAATCTTGGGGTGGAGGCTTTTGGGTTTTCAATGTAGAGTATCATGTCATCGGCGAAGAGGGAGAGTTTGACTTCTTCCTTGCCAATTTGAATGCCTTTAATGTCTTTTTGTTGTCTGATTGCTGAGGCTAGGACTTCCAGTACTATGTTGAATAGCAGTGGTGAGAGTGGACATCCCTGTCTTGTTCCTGATCTTAGGGAAAAGGCTCCCAGTATTTCCCCATTGAGAATTATATTTGCTGTGGGCTTTTCGTAGATGGCTTTTAAGATGTTGAGGAATGTTCCCTCTATCCCTACACTCTGAAGAGTTTTGATCAGGAATGGATGCTGTATTTTGTCAAATGCTTTCTCTGCATCTAATGAGAGGATCATATGGTTCTTGGTTTTTCTCTTGCTGATATGATGAATCACATTGATTGTTTTACGAGTGTTGAACCAGCCTTGTGTCCGGGGATAAATCCTACTTGGTCATGGTGAATAATTTTCTTAATGTACTGTTGAATCCTATTGGCCAGTATCTTGTTGAGAATTTTTGCATCCATGTTCATCAGGGATATTGGTCTATAATTCTCCCTTTTGGTGGGGTCTTTGTCTGGTTTTGGAATTAAGGTGATGCTGGCCTCATAGAACGAATTTGGAAGTACTCCATCTCTTTCTATCTTTCCAAACAGCTTTAGCAGAATAGGTATGGTTTCTTCTTTAAACGTTTGATAGAGGGGATCCCTGGGTGGCGCAGCGGTTTGGCGCCTGCCTTTGGCCCAGGGCGCAATCCTGGAGACCCGGGATCGAGTCCCACGTCGGGCTCCCGGTGTGTGGAGCCTGCTTCTCCCTCTGCCTGTGTCTCTGCCTCTCTCTCTCTCACACACTGTGTACCTATCATAAATAAATAAAAATTTAAAAAAACAAAAACAAAAAACGTTTGATAGAATTCCCCAGGGAAGTCATTTGGCCCTGGACTCTTGTGTCTTGGGAGGTTTTTGATGACTGCTTCAATTTCCTCCCTGGTTATTGGCCTGTTCAGGTTTTCTATTTCTTCCTGTTCCAGTGTTGGTAGTTTGTGGTTTTCCAGAAATGCGTCCATTTCTTCTAGATTGCCTAATTTATTGGCGTAGAGCTGTTCATAATATGTTTTTAAAATCGTTTGTATTTCCTTGGTGTTGGTATAGATCTCTCCTTTCTCATTCATGATTTTATTAATTTGAGTCTTCTCTCTCTTCTTTTTAATAAGGCTGGCTAATGGTTTATCAATCTTATTAATTCTTTCAAAGAACCAACTCCTAGTTTTGTTGATGTGTTCTACAGTTCTTCTGGTCTCAATTTCGTTGAGTTCTGCTCGAATCTTTATTAACTCTCTTCTTCTGCTGGGTGCAGGATCTATTTGCTGTTTTTTCCTCTAGCTCCTTTAGGTGTAAGGTTAGCTTTTGTATTTGAGTTCTTTCCAGTTTTTGGATGGATGCTTGTATTGCGATGTATTTCCCCCTCAGGACTGCTTTTGCTGTATCCCAAAGATTTTGAATGGTTGTATCTTCATTCTCATTAGTTTCCATGAATCTTTTTAATTCTTCCTTAAGTTCCTGGTTGACCCTTTCATCTTTTAGCAGGATGGTCCTTAACCTCCACGTGTTTGAAGTGCTTCCAAACTTCTTGTTGTGATTTAGTTCTAATTTCAAGGCATTATGGTCTGAGAATATGCAGGGGACGATCCCAATCTTTTGGTATCGGTTCAGACCGATTTGTGACCCAGTATGTGGTCTATTCTGGAGAAAGTTCCGTGCGCACTTGAGAAGAATGTGTATTCAGTTGAGTTTGGATGTAAAGTTCTGCAGATATCTGTGAATTCCATCTGGTCCAGTGTATCATTTAAAGCTCTTGTTTCTTTGGAGATGTTGTGTTTAGACGACCTATCGAGTGTAGAAAGCGCTAGATTGAAGTCACCAAGTATAAGTGTATTATTATCTAAGTATGTCTTAACTTTGGTTATTAATTGATTATATTTGGCAGCTCCCACATTCGGGCCATACATATTGAGGATTGTTAAGTCCTCTTGTTGGATAGATCTTTTAAGTATGATATAGTGTCCCTCTTCATCTCTCACTATAGTCTTCGAGGTAAATTTTAGTTTATCTGATATAAGGATGGCTACCCCTGCTTGCTTTCTTTTTTAAAAAAAAATATTTTATTTATTTATTCATGAGAGAGGCAGAGACACAGACAGAGGGAGAAGCAGGCTCCATGCAGGGAGCCCGATGCGGGACTTGATCCCGGGACTCCAAGATCATGCCCTGGGCCAAAGGCAGGCGCCAAACCACTGACCCACTCAGGGATCCCCTACCCTGCTTTCTTCTGAGGACCATTTGAATGGTAAATGGTTCTCCAACCTTTTCATTTTCAGGCTGTAGGTGTCCTTCTGTCTAAAATGAGCCTCTTGTAGACAGCAAATAGATGGGTCCTGCTTTTTTATCTAGTCTGAAACCCTGCGCCTTTTGATGGGGTCATTAAGCCGTTCATGTTCAGAGTTACTATTGAAAGATATGAGTTTAGTGTCATCATGATATCTATTCAGTCCTTGTTTTTGTGGATTGTTCCACTGGACTTCTTCTTAAAGGGGAATTTTAAGAGTCCCCCTTAAAATTTCTTGCAGAGCTGGCTTGGAGGTCACCTATTCTTTCAGTTCCTGCCTGTCTTGGAAGCTCTTTATCTCTCCTTCCATTTTGAATGAGAGCCTTGCTGGATAAAGTATTCTTGGTTGCATGTTTTTCTCATTTAGGATCCTGAATATATCCTGCCAGCCCTTTCTGGCCTGCCAGGTCTCTGTGGAGAGGTCTGCTGTTACCCTAATACTCCTCCCCATAAAAGTCAGGGATTTCTTGTCTCT